CAATGATATTGTACTACTGACTGTAATCAGATCAGACACATGTAAATTTCATAAACTAGGTTTTCATAAAATAATAAAAAATAAAAAATTAGGTTTTAAAAAGTCCACAGTCAACCACACATGAAGGATGAAATAATTGCTTCTTTAAAAGCTATATGCTGCCGCAATTATGTGTATAAATACTGATCAGGGCACAGCGTAGTAATTAAAAATACAGTTTCAAATCTTATATATGGGGATTCAGTTCCACCACATATTCTACAATTCTGAAAGAGGCTAATTTTAATAATATGTTGTAAGAGCATTGTGAATATATATACTGCAAAATTAATTTGATATTGCAAAGCCTGCAATATTCTAAACAGACATTAAAATTTAAGAAAAAAATAAAAATAATAATGCATAAAGAATAATGCATAAAAAAAAATGCAGTGTCTATTAAAGTGATAATACTCTGATATATTAAATCACATTGCATATCACATATCTGCTATATGAAAAGTATAATTAAAGTGACATTAAGGTCCAATGCCCCCTCACATCTATTTTATAGAATCTATACTTTTCAGTGGTCACCTCCAAAGAAGCCTCGGAAACTGGGGGTCTCAGAGGAGTGCTCATACCAAAAGGAATCAGATTCCAGACTTAAATTTTTTAAAATAAATAAATAAATGATAGAAAATGAATCACGGGAACACCCAGAACATGCATTTTAGAATATAATCTTAATTTACAGATATTTTATGCCTTAAAGACATATAAAGGATATTTAATTAAATATGCAGGTATCTTTAAAAATCAAGCAATGTTAAAAAATAAATAAAATAAATAATAATAATAAAAATATATTTTACACCACACTATAAACAGCTTTGTTAAAAAGATTTAAGTACAAGTACTTATGACAAGAAATATACAGAATACGTTTACAACAGGCAGGTTTAGAATAAATGCGAAGTTGTTGTTTTGGGAGATTTATTATTGCCCAAGAAATCTCTGAACATATTCAGAATTTTTGAGAGCAGCAAGTAAGATAGCAGATTGCAATAGACACCATTACAATATTGCTTTGCCAATTGAGGTCAGAACTTTAAAGAATAAATAAATAAATGTTCTATAGCTCACTAGACCGCGGGCTTTTAATGAACAGTTGGCACAACACTTATAAATAGTTTGTAATACTGCACATTATGGCTGTGACAGCATGATGTACAGGGTAAATATGCTATTTCACTGTTTAATAGACTTACCCAGTATTTAAGGACGACATGTTTCTTGCAAAGTAATCGGGACTTTGAGGGAGGTTCTAACTACATTTAATTAATTAATTAACTTACTAAAGAAAAAGAAAAAAAGAAGGTTTTGTTTTTCCCCTGCAAGTGAGTTTTCAGCGCAAGGTCATCTTGTGTTCACAGACTATTCGGATTTTTAAAAAGCTGTTCTTTATCTCACATTATGAACGGCCTTGTAATTCCTATCCACACTAAAAGTTGGCTTTTAAATGTTATTGTTTTAACTTTAATATTTCATAGTTAATACAGAGGATAAAGTAATATAAAGAAAGTATATTAATTGATAGGATTTCATTTATCTATTTTGGTCCACTGTTCACTGATCTCGAATCTCAGTCTGGTGTTCAAACAGTTTTTCTTACGATACATCGTGAGTTTATATCCACAACTGCATATTGCTTTGTGGAAACGAATTGAAAGCCTGGCATTCCACGTGTATGGACATGCTTATAACAAAGCATGGGCCCTCTCCTCATGTAGTTGGTCATTAACAGGCACTTTGATGCAATGTGTCTACCAACGCTTTTCTGTGGTCACTGGATCACATCGCATACCCTATCTCTCAGTCATGATGCAGAGTTTATGCTTGCAAGGATATCCAGACCTTATCCACCTGGTATCCGCATAAATACTCCTATCGTTTAGAGGGGTTAATTACATAATAACCATTGAAGGTAATATGTTGGTTGTTCTTCCTATAGAGGAAAGATGGACTTGCCCTAAAAGCTTTTTCATGGCTAGGACAAGCTCTTATAGAGAGAGATAATGTACTTCTGACTCCTGAAAAGGAATATTGGTGGTCACAATATGGGAAATACTGTAATTCATGTGTTTAGTAATCATAAGCATTTGCTTATTGCCACATTACTGATGTACTGTTTATTGAAATATTAATATCTAACATACTTTTTGAATTACTATATATTGGAAGTGTGCCAATATCTCATGGTTATAAATATGTTTTTGTATGTGTTGATGCATGTACCAGGTTTACTTGGATATATCCTGTGCAAAGTGCAACCTCTGATGCCACGTTTTCTAGTCTCACTTCCTTAGTATGCATTTGATAATCCCAGGACCATCCATTTGGATGGTGGTCCTGCAGTTACTGCAAAGGAAACCTAAAAATGGGCAACCACATTTGGGTTACTTTGGGGTTTCAGTGCCCCAACCACCCCCAAAGAAGTGGGGTTGTGGTCTGGGAGAATGCTGAGGTTAAATGATTATTAACCAAGTTACTAGTTGCTTGCCCCACACAGTGGTATATATTTATTCCTATGGTACAGATGAGCATTCACAACATACCTGATGATACAAATGGTGAGACACCATATGAAATGTTACATGTTTTTCACTGACAATCATATTTCTGCACCAGGGAGAGCTTAGAACCATTGGTTCTATTAGAGAAATGTAGGGAATTTTTTTTTCCAGCCCACCTCGCCTTGCACCACCACCTATTTCCTTCTGTTGGCCAGCTTGTCCTGGAGAGGGTGACTCAGATAACTTTTACTACAGAGAACAATCAGAGCCAACAGAGAACAGTAAGTTTTGATATTTTACAACCTGCTAAATACTAACAGGACATTCACAGGACCACTGACCGATACAATGGATGCTGTTAAAGATGACAAGATAAATCAAACAGAGGACGACAGAAATGCTACCAGAATCATAGCCACGTAACAGACTGAATCGTGATCTGAATCTGCAAATGTGAAGGAGAAGGATGAACAGACAGACGTGATACATTCACAGTTAACATGGAATGTATGAAAAATGAATCATCAACATCATTATCAGAAAGACTCTGGAGAAAAAAGACTAAACCTGAATTATCTTATACAGTAAGAAAGAAATGCAAAGATGGAAGCAAAAGGATGCTAGAAAATTGGAGTCTCCTTCTTACAATCTGCAGCATTATCATAACATCAACCCTAGCTGTCGTTTTAAAGCTGCATTGGGATTATGTTAACAAGCAGGAAGCACCTGAACTGAATTGGACTGCACACTATACAAGTTCTATGATCGTGAGGACTACCTCCAAGAACCATCCCAAAAGGAGAGACACAGCTCACAGTGAAATGATTGAGAGAAAAGCACAAATAAGGGTGCGCCTAAGACAAGTAGAATGAGTGTATAAAAATATGTATCAGAGAGTCCAAGCAGCGATACCTAGAAAGTCCGAATATAAATAATCCACATATGCAGGAGGTAGTCCTAGTGCTACATAAAATGGTATGTGAAGTCCCAGATGTATATCCGCAGCTTCAAAATGGATATGTGAAGAAAACAGAAGACAAGGGAAACTCCAATGGTATAGTATGAACGGTAAAATAATATTGTATATAGAATAGTAGAACTACTCACAATATTCAGAGCTTATATCCAGCTCTGGTGTAAATGGCACGTAGTGGAATAATCCCCACTCAAGGATATACGTTGCTCCTCTTTTGTTCTTTAGCAGAGTACTTTGGTGGAGTAGTCCAGCTCGAGGTAAAATAATAAAATATAGTGCTCACTGTATAGTTGATAAAATGTAAAAACAGAATAAAATATACTCACGGTATATAGAGCAGACGTACTGCTCGGTGGATGGCGTATGGGTGGTATAATCCCCACTTTAGGATTCTTGGTACTCCAATATGGACAAAAAAGTAGTAGTAGTCAGGTCTGAATAAAATAAACTTGCAAATAGTAAAATAATAAAATTATACTAAAAGAAGGTAATATAATACTAAGGTGGGAAGAGGAATGTGGCAACCAAATGTATAATAGCCAAATATTCCTTTATTAACACTTAGATTATATAAAAAGTTCCTATACGCGTTTCGCCACAATAGGCTTCATCAAGTAGAAACTTATAAAAAGAGAAAAACAGACCTAACATATAGCACTTATATAAGAAAACATAAAATTGCACAGATAAATTGAAATTCCCGCCAAAATGACGTCACCGGCGTCATGGGAGTAGACACAATTCAATAAAAATGTGGAAAATATAAAAAGTCAATATAAGAGTGTTTAAAATATAGTATAGAAATCAGAAGCATTATTTGTACACAAAATATTAAAAAACGAGGTTTTACAGTGTAAGAAATTATATAAATTATAACATCATGTGACATGGAAGTAAATAAGAACATGTCATGTGATTTTAGGTTAAGTAGGAGCCTCTGGGTTGAGTTTTATGATCAGCCAAGCAGGTTCAATACTCAGAAAAGGCTAGCATACAGTTATATGGGACAGGTGGCTGCACCAGTAGAGTGTTAGACTAGGAACACACACTCCACAAGTTTGAAACCCCTCAGAGGTTACTACCATATTCCAATAGATTAACATAGGTGAATATTATTAGAACAGAATATAAACATAGATACAACTGTGAAATGATTGCCTACACTGGTATTTCACAAGGAACCTATTGAGATCATTCCAAAAACCGATTATACATGAGAAAGATGTGATTGGACTATTAGAAATCCTAATAATGGAATCAACGATGATGGCAAAGCATGCTGAAAACAGAAAAAGATGGGAAAGATGCTTATGAAAAACTTTGGATGCACCTATGAAGGTGATATAGTTTATCATTGAGTGACTACTGCAAACAGCCTTCTTATGCTGAAAAGAAGTGCTATGCTAATTCTGGACATTGTTATTATGTCTCCAGACAGAAGATGACCGGAAAAATAAATAAAGGCTGATAGCTGTCAACACCCAGCTGTTTCTCAAGATGGAACATGGTACTGACAAAACCAGATTGACTATCAAAGCACCTCACAGTACAAGACACAGATTGTTAACTACAACTCAGAAAAAGTGGTTAATAGGAAGGATCAGAAGAAGAGGAATATAGATTTCCTACTGGAGAGAAAAACCATCCTGGAACAATATTCTGTAACAATGAACTTTACAATGACATTTGGTGGCATATGAATTTGAATTCGGAAGAAACACATCAATTAACGAAAGAAACCTTGATGCAATTAATAAATAATAACAATACCGGCCTACTAAGAGCAGATGCCCTGCAAAGAGAATGGAATATGAAAAGACCAGCAAAATCTTTCAGAAACCTGACATCATGGGACACTTGTACTAAAGCACGATTTGCAGCTTTTCTTAAACTCTACATATTATGTACATACCTGCAAAGCTAGGAACTCCTGTAAACATAAACACAGAGACATTGATACAACAAGGAATCTGTAATGGTTCTGTTGCAGATGTGATCTACCAATGTACTCCTTGCTCTTTTGGTATAACTATACCAATCAAAACGTTAAATGGCTCCATAGAATCAAACGACAAAGCATTCTTGCTATATTCTGGACTTCCAGGAATGTGGTGCATGGACCGAAAATTATAATTACTAAAGCAATCATGCTATTTTTTTCCCTGTATCAGAAATGTGTCAGTGACAATGTGTAATATAATACAGATACTATAATTAATGGTATAAGAAACACATAATGTGTTAATTACAAAGGTGGATAGACTTTGTGAATATCTGAAACGCAATTGAAGATTATTGCTAAAATGCCATATGCAGCTGCAGTCTGGCCTACAAACAAATATATTAAACATAATGTATAAGAGCATAACAGCTAATTACCCAGATAAATAATTAAATCATGATAGTTAAAGATCATATGATTGCAATAACAACTGCAATAATGCATGTTTTAAACTTTAGAAGAAAATGTGAAATGTTTTTATTAAATCAGAAACTACTCAATATTCGTTTAAGTTTGCAGAGTGGTATAGTTAATATAAGTGAAATACTTCAACAGTTAAAATTTAACTGACAGACAGGCAGAAACTTTACTTCAACTATCATAAAATTTATTTTTAATGATAAAAATATTCAGTCTGCCAGAGCTAAGGCCAGTCAATGGAAAGTAAGAGAGTATTATGGATTAACCCGTCCAGGTGATACACATGATTATTTTGGAAATTGATAAGTTAGGTCACCTATTGCAAATTGGTGAAAAGATGTCAAAGATATAAATTCAACATCCATACCACTCTATGTATATATATTAAAATACACGTAATCAAATATTTTATCAGTTTTTCAAATACAAAGAAAATGTTATTTGGTTTGTGATGGTTAAAGGTACATAAAACCACCTATACAAAGGTAGAGTTAAAATATAAATACATTCAATATTGTATCGGAGTGCTTTCTTAACTCACTTTTAGAAATAATAATACATTCTAATCATCTTAAGCTACATCCAACAGCCGCTAGTAAATATACTTAAACAATTAAGATTCTCATTGTTGAGCATCCAATCTCACGAATGTTACTTTCCACAATGGCTGTCAGATCTTGGTTTAAAAAAAAAAAAATGTTTTGAAGACAATTTTGGGGTGTTTCTGGTATTTTAAGCCACTAATAACTGTAGTTATTATATTTACTAATTATATCTTAGGGAATAAGTTGTCTTCTCCCTAACAGGACAAAGAAAGATAATTAACGTCATATTTCCAATTAGCAACTATTCTAAATATATTGAGACATTTTGAATAAAGTAATATTTTTAACATTTAAAGAGAATGTAATTTTACGTACCATTGTGAACAAAGGCGGTAAATACTTTGCTGCTTCAAATTATCCTTGTATCTCTAAATCATATACAAGGGTGTTTATCTTTAATACAAAACACTAGAAAGATTAACTATGTTACTATTTCACCTATCATTATTATACAAACTATAACAAATGTAAAGATTTTTCCACAGATTTTCTCTGTTAACATTTTTAGCACAACATCACCTGATGTCAGTGAGATGTCGATCACTGAGATGTTACAAAGATTCCAATACAGCAAAAAGAGGCGTTCTTGGGAATCCACTTCAATTGCTGTATCAACAAAACATTTACTATAATGGGATCCATGTCACTTAAGACAATGTCTTGGAAATTATGTCAATTAATTGATTCCATAAAAAAATATCGGAGAGTATCCAATCTATACACATCATAAACGGTGTAAAAATGTTTCATGGAAAAAACAAAAAGCAAACAAGCAAAGACAAATACCAACGCCATCACCACAGTGATAACAGATGATGCTGATAGAATATCTGCAACCAATTCTAGCCAACTATTTGGAAAGCTGGACTCTACAACCAATACTATACAACTAATACCCGGGTATTCTACAAACACAACCTCCAGCAATGTATCTAAGGAATGTAAACTTCTACAGGCCTTTAAAGACTTTGGATTACAAATACAATTACTACTTTTAACTTTGGATTACAATTCATATCCGGATCTATCCAAGAATATCTTACTCTGGAACCTGGTGTTCTTTTCAATTCTTTCCCAGACAAAAGTTTTGCTCGTTTTAATCAACCACCTTTACAGGCAAAGATCACACTACGGATGTTACAACAATGATCAAAGATGCTGGGAGCACAAAAACCTAAAGACAGTTGGAGAACTTTGGTTTACTAATTTAAGGAAGAAATGTGCTACAATGCCCACAGTTTAATGGAGAGGGTGTTACGGGCAAATGCAAATATTACAAGTTTTAGAATGAAATGTTGTATTTCTTAAACTGTGTACTTTGTCTTTAAGAGATATTGCAAACTGACAAGGTGTTAGAAATGGAACATATTGTTTTTCATAACTGTTTCTTTAAGCAATAACCTCAGTGCATAATATGTTTGCGCCATTTTGTCCCAGACGAATTACAATAACAATAATGCATAAACAAGCTTCAAGGCTATACTACGACTCTTGCAGTATACAATATACTGTGGTAACCCCAAGTTAATGGAACTTCCCCAAATCCGGGAATCTCCCACGACTGTACACTTACGACTTAGTATAAACAACAGATAACCTATTCAGACTTTAAGATGCCATCTTGAACTAAGTCAGGAAAATTTCCATGACGTATACACACTTTAGTTATGGCCTTGTATGTTTGCCAAATTAAGGGAGGTCCTAAATTGAATAAAGTAAAAGAAGTGTTACTTTTTCATATTTGAACTACAGTAACCTAAAATGGAGACACCTAAGGTATAAATAGGTGTACTTTTAAATGTTAAAGCGGCACTGTCATGCCGAACTTACCTTTCCTCAATCTCTTCCTCTTCTCCCCCGCTCTCAGGATCTGTTATTCTTTTCTTCCTGTCTTCTTTAGTTTTCTTTAAAATCATAAGACAAAGTAGGGACTCTTTGCCTTATGGAGAATTCCTCCGCTTGACCAGCTCTGACCAGCGGAGGAGCAAAGTGTGCTTCATTTCCGCTGGTCAGAGCAATTTTCCCATGATCCCTAGCTTCCCTCTGTGTTCCCACAATGCTTCCTGTCACTTTACACTAAACTGCCGAATTGCGTTCTAACTGAATGAGAACAGTCTGTTCGTTCCTTTTAGAACGCAATTCGGCATTTTATTCGGATCGGAATTTCATTCGAATGAATGAAACTCTGATCCTATTCAGTGCTGTGGCTGCATTTTGCAGCCGCTTAGTAGATAACTCCCTAATTCCCACGGTATTAGGGAGCTATCTACTAAAAGGCTGAAAGACCTACATTGGTCTAACAGCCAACTTTACTAATACTAAGTAAAGATTACTTAGTATTAGTAAATAATATGCCCCTACTCACTATATCGCGAGTAGGGGCATGTGTAGTAAGCAGTGAGCAACTTATAGCTGCTCACTGTAAAAACAAAACAAAAACTAATAACCCCCCCCTCGCCCCCCCATGCCCGTGGGGGCCCTAAATAAAGATGGGGGGGAACCTACTGGCCCCCACCCCTGCGCGGTGGGTGGGTG